AAAAATTTTTTTTTTGGTTGTGAAGGACGTCAAAGCAATAACATAAATATCTGAATTAAAATAGACAAGAGATTATTATCTTTAATATAAGAAATTATAATCGAAACTATTTTCTGTATTCATTGGTAAGAGGTAAATTTCCATGGGTTATAATCAAGTTTGATTCAAGGAAAGGTAGGCGAGCTCTAACAGCAAGGATCAAGAGCTTTTCACCGACACGTAGTCCGTCTCCCCACTGCCTTGGAAGGGCATTTCGAAAAAAATAAAATAATCTGCCAAGTATTTACTCCGACAATTTAGCTCAACAAAGCCCAGGAGGAGGAGGAACCATGAGAGGCGGCCAAACTGACTCCATTTACCGGATTAACAAACGCACCTGCTGAGAGAGAAAAAAAATCCTGGGAAAAATATACATGGAGAGAACCTTTGGTGTTGTCTAGGATGAGTATCTTTAGAGAGAGGAAATAAAAGTTTTCTTTTAATTTTACTTTATTTTTCCCATGAAAAAGTTAATGAAGTCTTTCAGTGAAACAAGTGTTGACTTATGCATGTGAAATAAGAGTTAAGAAACGTTTTGATTAATTAATAACTTAAAATATTATAGGCACTAGCTATCAAATAGAAGCCTAAAGATATATTACATGAAGAAATTTTGTTTCATAAGAATAAATTCTACTAAAAGCTTAAAATCGTCAAGAAAAAATAATTAACAAGTACAATCTTCGTATAGCATCGAGATGTGCACGAAGGTAAGATGAACAACATCTGAGGCTTCTAGAGCAATGGTTTGATCATAGTGGCATGCTCAGTATAGTTCTGCATACTCACGGGGCCAGGAGCAATGGGTCGACCCCTGAAATCATATTTAGGTGACCGCACTCATATACACCCTTCTGTTTATATATATATGTTGGTTTAGAAAGACACGTAAGCAAACACTCCATTCTTATGTTCTTATGACATTCCTCAGGTCACGTGCGTCACACCTCACTCTCCGCCTATATATAATGTCTTTCTACCTCTGTATGTTAGAAGTGATCAAGGTCCCAGGACCGAAACGTTTTCTAATATGTTATAGTGTTTGCTTACGTGTCTTTCTAAACCAACTTGTCGGTATTTATTACCAAGGTTTATACCATCCACCACCATATATATATGTATATATATATATATATATATATATATATATATATATTATATATATATATATATATATATTTATATATATATATATATATATATATTATATATATATATATATATATATATATATGCAAAACAACCACTCTGAAAGAATAGAGAAATTCCAAGCGCTTTCGTGACTACTCACATTATCAAGGAACTACGAAAGTAAAGCATCCAAGGAAGCTATATAAGGGGTCTGGCCAACACCTCACTATCAGATCCCACAACGGTTAAACACCTGACGCGCGCCGACACAACTGGATAGGTCCTTTGCACAACTCACCCACAAACTATTCTACCCAAGAAAATTTAAAAATTATTATTTGTCCAGTGTATTATTAAATTCTTCCCAAATTCTATTAATTATAAATGAACCTAATTTATATAAACTAAAGGAAATATTCATATTATTGTCAAAACTGTTTTTTATGAAACAAGATTCAATTATATTCCTGTTGACCATGGACTTGCTTGATACTACTTTCTCAACTTTTTGAAAATCAATTGGATGGTTAAAATCTCTTACATGAATAAATAGAGCATTAGAATCTTGTCCAGTTCTAATGCTATATTTATGTTGTTTTAATCTTAGTTCGAGATTTTTATCAGTTTGACCGTAATAAACTTTATCGCAAATTTTACAAGGAATCTTATAGACACATCCATCAGCATTTTGGGGGGAATTCTTTATCAGAAGTTTTTTTACTGTATCAAGATTTTTTAATACAACTTTAATATTAAAAGTCTTAAGAAGAGAAGGCATATCAACCAAGTTTTCATGGTAAGGGAGAACCAACAAAATCCCCTAGAAACCGTTAACAGCAATTTCAATGAGCTATACTCCAACATTTTCAGTGTTTAACATTAAGGATCAAGATGGTGCCGCCAGATTATGAGTTCAATTCATAATATACCTAAATTTATATTATTAATTAGACAGAGAACCACCTGGGGATGTAACTGGCATGCAGAAACAGTTTAGGAAAAATCAGGAAGAATCAGTACGGAAAATCTGTCCTATGAAGCACATAAAAACAGAAATTAGGATACCGTGTAAAGATAACAGAATTCTGAAACCAGGACAAAGACAAGTTCATTCACCTTATGAGTATTAACAACTGTGTACAGAACTCACTTAGTAAAACACCAGCTTTTTCTTGAAAATGTCTCAAGAATTGCATGTAGAAGTTCGTTCAATTGACCCTAATTTTTAAAGGGGTGGGCTGGTAAGCCAGCAGAAGGCCTCGGTCAGATGACCAAAAGCTCCAACGGCGGGTCATCATCTAAGACCCGCATCAGGAAACACTTGTCCTTTTTTTCTGACGAACCTTACCTAACCTAACTCTAGAAGAACAAAGAACATGTAGGGATATTATGAGGATATACAAAAACGATGAAAATTTAGAATAATGTGCTATTTACTGGGATGACAATTCCACATCTAAGTAAGCTAGTGATATACACACACATTTAACACAGTGAAGATGGCGCAGGGATTCTAATGTACATATTACAAGTTACTTTATGACAATCTGTGGCAAGGTAAGAGTCGATGAAAAGAGCTGGAGCTCTATGCCATCCCTATCCCACAAAAACCAGTAGCTCTTTAGACAGAGCAAATAAATACATTCAGCGTTTATATCAATATGCAAAATAACCACTGTAGAAAAATAGTGAATTTTCAAGTTCCTTGATAATGTGAGAAATCGCGAAAGCGCTTGGAAATTCACCATTTTTTCCACAGTGGTTATTTTTGCATATTGTGGTATCACCTGTTTACTGTGATCTTTTTGCATCAATATATTCATGTGAAACCCTTTTCTTCCTTTTTTTCAGTGGGTACGAGTGTGATTAGGCGACCAGAGGAGGAAAATACACTTACTGTCATCCCCCTTGTTTCCGGGACTAGGAATGAGGCAAGAGCCTCATATTATCCACATATATCTACCGTTAGGTAAGTATGGACGTCGGAAATTAAGTACAGCCAGAGCACAACAATACCAAGAAACAATTAGCAAGAGGACTGGAAAAACTCTCATGTAACCAAAGAGTCTTCAAAAGTAACCTGCAATATCATGCAAAATCTCATCAAATCTGGGAACGAACAGTGAGACCAAAAAATGGAGAGCAAGCTGCCATAACACGAGAAAACACGGTAACAAATTTCGAGTAAGCATCAGAACAAGTAAGAAAGTGTGGAAGATGAAGAAGTGTTTAGAGCTTGCAGTAGTAAAAAGTTGCAGAAAATGCAGCTGAGAGCATTAATTGAGAATGCAAGAGCTGCTACTTTCATTTGCTGCTGCTATTACTATCCCTGCTGTTGCTGTTACCAATACTGCTTCTCCTGCAAATACAACTAACTCTAATACAACTACTGATGCTCCTATAGCATTTGTGCAGCTACAGCTTGGAGAAAAAAAGTGCCAGTCCAAGCAGGGTAAATATCACGAAAAAAAATTGTGTGGTATGGATTTTGAGTTTACAATGTACCAGGCAGGAAGGCCTCGGAACCACGAATTTAGTACCTGACTCTAGTGAGATGTGAGTCAGACTGAACTAAGTAAACTAAGGGAGGCAGAAAGGGTCAGAGCAGTTTTCATTCCGATTTTATCTTATATTGCAAGTGGAATATTTATGTGTTTTTCCAGTCATATCATTAATTAAAAATATAAACAAAAACAAATAATTGAGAATCCTCTAATGAATAAAACTTAAACTTAAGTGCTGAGAAATTAAACTTTTTTTACAGAATATTACTGAAAAAATAAGCAAAGAATTATTGAGAAAACATGTTACTTACTGCCTGTAAAATACATTTATTCATTCTAAGAGTTTTACTGAATAGATATAAAAACATATGCAGATTTAGATCAGGTTTAGAAAGTGTTATGTTATGAAAATTATCAAGGGAATGCTTACAAAGAAAAATCAGTACAATATGTGGCTTAACTGTCAAAAAAAGTTCGCAAATTATGCAGAAAGAAACCTATTAACAGCTGCCCTAAGTGCGTCACCAGTAGCAATTTCATTCATAAATATATAAAAAAGTTTCGTAGCGGGAGCATACAATGATTTAACAGCATATGACAAATGAAGTCACTATATTAACAACGTAGGTAGTGATGTATCATTTAAGTATATCAAGGCAAACCATAGCCAAAAAAGTGGTTTTGATTCAAATGACTTAAAAAATGAGTGAATGGAAACTTTTGAGAGGCAAGGTCCTTAAAGACTGCTAATATTTTTTTTTAGTAAGAAGAAAATCAGTGTGAAGGATTTACCAGTTCATCTCAGTGACTGCTTATCCCGTTGCCAAGTAAATGCCAGTGAGATGCAGATTCAGTGAATAATATTGAAAATTAATGACACTAGTCAGTGAATAAAAGCAAATGTATTCCAGTGAACTGTAGCTTTACCTTTCTGACACCAGGGAAGGAAAAATCAGTCCCGGTGGAAGATAACTGCCCAAACGCCACAAAATACAAAACTCAGAAGTGACGACAAAGACACTAACGAACAAGTAAAAGCAGATGGACAACAACCTCGTCGAAGTGTTAAAGGGAGACTAAATCGTGTCCCCCTTTCCTTGGAGGAGAGTCGAACACCCTGAGGAAGGTGCTACAAGCAGACCTACTGAGGGAAGCTTCTCGTCATGGCATCTACCACCGACCTCGCATTCTGCTGCGCCCTGGTGCTCCTCTCCCTGGCCAGGGAGTGCTTCTGCTCGGGTGAGTACTAAAAGGAGAGGGCAAATGGGGGAAGGAAGGGGAAAGGGAAAGGGATGTAAGCAGCAAGGGAAAGGAGAGGCGAGGACGAAATTAGGGAGATGAGAGGCCAGAGAATTTGAAAGCTTGAGCATGGACAGTCAGTGTCTGCCTGCCTGTCTCTCTCCTCTCTCTCTCTCTGAGTTGTTCATAATCCGTGATGCAAAAGGCTATCCCAAAGGCTTCCCAGCTGAGGATCAGGATGGATGCCGAATTAGGAAGGAGTGTGATACAGATAGCTAGAGGGGAAAAGACTGGACTAAGATATGTAGGCGGGGGGGAGTGTGCGTGTGTGTGCGTGCGTGTGTGTGTGTGTTTGTGTGTTTTGTGTGTGTGTGTGCTGTGTGTTTTGGTGTGTGTTTGTGTGGTTTGTGTGTGCATGTGTGTGTGGTGGTGTGATTGTGTGTGTGTGTGTGTGAGTGGGGTGTGATAGTGTGTGTGTGTGTGTGGTGTGTGTGTGTGTGTTGTGTGTGTGTGTGGTGTGTGTGTGTGTGTGTGTGTGTGTTGTGTTTGTGTTTTGTGTGTGTTTGTTGTGTGTGTGTGTGTGTGTGTGTGTGTGTGTGTGTGTGTGGGTGGTGTGTTGTGTGTGTGTGTGTGTGTGTGTTGTGTGTGTGTGTGTGTGTTTGTGTGTGTGTGTGTGTGTGTGTGTGTGTGTGTGTGTGTGTGTGTGTGTGTGTGTGTGTGTGTGTGTGTGTGTGTATACTACTGTACTCACCCAATGTGGTTGCAGGGTCGAGATAGCTCTGCCCGCCTCTCACGTCGCTTGATCTCGCTCTTGCTTGGTTGTCATACCTCTCAAAATGTAGGTTCCGCCTCATATCACTGCTAGGTATCCACTGCTGACAATCTATGATGAAGAATACTTCCTAAGTCCTGTGATCGTCTGATCTGCTTCGTTGTGCCTGTCCCTGTGTCCCTCTCTGGACTCCTATCTCTGCACTGTCTATTCCCGAGTACGTGTGTCGTTCAGTCTCCGACCTTGTCTCAGTGTCGTCAGTCCGATTTCCCTAACCTTCTCGTACGCATCCCTGACTCGGGCTAGCTTTTGCAACCTTGTATCTTAATCTTGCGTGCTTCTGAGTGTGGGTGTGTGCGTGTGTGGGGTGTGTGCATGTGTGAGGTGTGTGCGTGTGTGGGGTGTGTGCGTGTGTGGGGGTGTGTGCGTGTGTGGGGTGTGTGCGTGTGTGGGGTGTGTGCGTGTGTGGGGGTGCGTGTGTGGGGGTGCTTGTGTGGGGGGTGCTTGTGTGGGGGGGTGCATGTGTGTGTGGTGCATGTGTGTGTGGTGCATGTGTGTGTGGTGCGTACTCACCTATTTGTGGTTGCAGGGGTCGATTCACAGCTCCTGGCCCCGCCTCTTCACTGATTGCTGTGTGTGTGTGTGTGTGTGTGTGTGTGTACTCACCTAGTTGTACTCACCTAGTTGAGGTTGCAGGGGTCGATTCCAAGCTCCTGGCCCCGCCTCTTCACTGGTCGCTACTAGGTCACTCCCCCTGAACCGTGAGCTTTATCATACCTCTGCTTAAAGCTATGTATGGATCCTGCCTCCACTACATCGCTTCCCAAACTATTCCACTTCCTGACAACTCTGTGGCTGAAGAAATACTTCCTAACAGGTGTGTGTGTGTGTGTACTCACCTATTTGTGGTTGCAGGGGTCGATTCTTAGCTCCTGGCCCCGCCTCTTCACCGGTTGCTACTGGGTCCTCTCTCTCCCCGCTCCATGAGCTTTATCAAACCTCGTCTTAAAACTATGTATGGTTCCTGCCTCTACTACATCACTTTCTAGGCTATTCCACTGCCTGACAACTCTATGATTGAAGAAATACTTCCTAATATCTCTCTGACTCATCTGTGTCTTCAACTTCCAATTGTGACCTCTTGTTTCTGTGTCCCCTCCCTGGAACATCCTTGTCTATTCCGCGCAGTATTTTATATGTCGTTATCATGTCTCCCCTGACCCTCCTGTCCTCTAGTGTCGTCAGGCCGATTTCCCTTAACCTTTCTGGAACTAACCTTGTCGCAAACCTTTACGCTTTCTCTAGTTTCTTGACGTGCTTTATCAAGTGCGGGTTCAAACAGGTGCTGCATACTCCAGTATGGTACTGACGTACACGGTGTACAGTGTCTTGAACGATTCCTTATTAAGGTATCGGAACGCTGTTCTCAGGTTTGCCAGGCGCCCATATGCTGCAGCAGTTACCTTGTTGATGTGTGCTTCCGGAGACATGCTCGGTGTTATACTCACTCCAAGATCTTTCTCCTTGAGCGAGGTTTGCAGTCTTTGGCCACCTAGCCTATACTCTGTCTGTGGTCTTCTGTGCCCTTCCCCTATCCTCATGACTCTGCATTTGGCGGGATTAAATTCGAGAAACCAGTTGCTGGACCAGGTGTCCAGTCTGTCCAGGTCTCTTTGAAGTCCTGCCCGGTCCTCATCTGATTTAATTCTCCTCATTAACTTCACATCGTCTGCTAACAGGGACACTTCTGAGTCTAACCTTTCCATCATGTCGTTCACATATACCAAAAATAGCACTGGTCCTAGGACCAGTGTGTGTGTGTGTGTGTGTGTTTGTTTTGGATAAAATTATTCTTCTCAGATCTCTGGATCTCTAGCTAAAGGTAAACTCCTTTACAATTACAAATCATCTGACTGTGCCACTAAAATTAACTTATATGTGCATTGTCGGACCCATTAGGAAGCGAGAAACAAGAAGGGTGGAAGGAGCTCTGGCACAAACACCACAGCAACTTCTAGGTGAGTATAGTGACAACCAGAAAGACAGAAGAAACGGATACCTGGAGACAGACGCCACCAGTACCTCCGTCACGCAAGACACATTTGCATGCCAGGAAGAATGTGACGTCACTCTTGAATTAAAAAACGTAAACAACTCGAAATTCAATACTATCATGTTGCCCTGGGAGACGTGATGACCTGGTGTAACACCGTAACTGGATATGTTGGAGAGAAGAAGAGATGTATGTAAGAAAGGGAAGGAAGCGTAGAGAAGTGTAGGATTAGAGAAGAGAAGGAAGTGCAGGGAAGTGTAGAAGCAGAGAAGAGAAGGAAGTGTAGAGAAGGGTGGAAGTATAGGAGAGAAGGAAGGGTAGGAAGGGGTAGAAATAAGGAAGATTAGGGGAAACTGTAGGGAAAGGAAAAGGCGTAGGGAAGCGAAGAAGTGTAGGTTAATGAAGTGTAGGAAGTGAAGAAGTGTAAGGAAGGAAATATCGCTATGCTGTCTCTAGTATATCGCATCAGAAGCTTCTGTGTAAATAATATTCAAGGATAATACAGTTTTAATTAAAAATGAACGTTAAGTATAGTGTGAGTGTGTAGCTGCCACTCCACATACTGCTCTTCCTCAAACGTTTTAAACCATTGAAAAAACTAACGCTCTGAGGCAGGTTGATACGTATCCGCTGCCAGACATAAACCACCCGTTTTTCTTATATCAATATCGTCATTTATACACAGTTAATTGTGAATAAAGATAGGTTAATACACATTAAAATAACTAAACCTAAACTAACCTTACGAATATCTCAAAATATATCTGATAACAAATAATAGTATTAAATTAGAAATAATATTAAATTTCCGAATTGCCGTTCGCGCAGAAATGCACGAACGGCAATTCGGCGAGAAGTGCGTGCTCTAATTGGTTAACAGGTTGCTATACGATAGTTACACTGTGGGAACAAAGCTAGCTATGTTTCCCTGTCATATATTATCACACAGGATGGGTTGCCAACGTACAGTAATGAAATCTGTCAGCATGAGCTGCCACACTTTGTAATGTATTGTTGCTTTTTTTTTTTTTTTTGGAGGGGGAGAGGGAGGATAGGGTAGAGAGGGAAAGGAGAGGAGAGGACGACGGGAAGATATAGTAGGCCACTCAGGGGCCGTTTTGGAAATAATCATTTTTTTTATTATGAGAAGAAATTGTCGTAGACGTAAACATAAGAAATGCCGATGCTGAATTATCTAAGAGTGTGAAGAAAAATGTTTTTAAGAATATAAGGGAAGAGAGAGCGAGAGGGAGGGAGAGAGAGAGAAGAAGAGAGAGAGAGAGAGAGAGAGAGAGAGAGAGAGAGAGAGAGAGAGAGAGAGAGAGAGAGAGAGAGAGAGAGAGAAGAGAGAGAGAGAGATAAGGGGGGATGGATATGTAATATTACCTGGTATATTGCTGGCCCTTTATTGACGTTGCAGAGTACTAGAGATCAGAGCCCCAGGCCAGGTAGGGGAAGAAGTTAATTTGCAATGGATAGTGAAGAGAACTGACAGGATGGACATAGTGACAGTCTGGTGTTAGGGTGAGAGAGGTGGCCAGTGCTAGCAAAATACAAGGGGATTCCACATTGGATACACTCATATGTATGACCAAAGAGAGAGAGACCCGAAATGCGTATATCAGGTTACTTTACCTGAGCGAAAACATACACAGCATTTGTCATTAATGTGATGGATTCAAATTAGTACTTGAAAGAGCATTCATTGCTCAAAATGCGAAGTATCTGGCTGGGGTGAGCGTTGCATCTCGATGTATGCACGCTAAACACCTTGCAAATAAACGCTTTATTAATTCAATTTCCATCCACTGACAGTGATAAAACTTCCTATTAATGCGCCTATTCATTATTTATCTCTTACGTTGAAAACATAAATTATATATTTTATTTGTATGAAGGATGTATGAAGCCATAAACGTGATCAGCAGCGTTCTACCTATCATTTGATAATATAATAAAGAGGTCAGTCACAAGTACATGTTACTGGAACGTTATTAATCAAATAACCAAACCGCATTACGATGGAAACAAACATTTACGACATACGATTCGTGTGACTCAGTCAAGCCAGTCGGACGCAAAGGTTCGTCGTAAGTTAATTTCTTAATTATCTAAGGTATTAGATTCACTAAAACATATCATTGAGAATAATTAATAATTAATACGATGATCAAG